TTTTTGTCACCCTACTTCACCATCGCTTCCTATCGACGATTTTGATCGGTAGGCGGCTCTGCTCTCTTAGGCGCCTTCTCTTATCAGTTGTCATCGGTTCTTGTCGCCGCTTACCTACGATCCCGTCATATCCTACATCACTTATTAGCCCATTGACGACCATCACGTTTGGCGGGGAAAGCGCCGGGAGGGACCGGCACGCTTTTCGTCCACTCGCGACTGCAGCCCACATATGGACTACACGGTCCAGCATTACCATTTTTCAAAGTTAATAAGAGAATCGTAAGAGACGAGAGAAGATTTTCTGACTGTTCCTTTAGATGGGTTTGGTAGGAATGCCATTATTGAATGATTGATGATATTTACTGCAGAACTGGCACTGGGTCTAGTGGTTATTCAATTGTGAGTTTAATCATTACCAGAAATCGTTTCGGTGAACTTTTACGAGCTTTGCATTTGGTCGGTAACAGCAAAAGTGCTAATGACACCGTCTGATCAAAATATCTCATTTTTTGAAGTTGTTCAATGGACGAAGAATTCACCAAGGCAATGCGCTCCTTCGAAAAAAAACGCCTTTACGATTGCAAGATTAGAAGTTTTCCTAGTATCGCGCTGTATGTAGTTTCATTCAAGATTGATGTAATGTTTTGAGAAAAAAAAATTATAAAAAAGTGGAAATTTCCTACTTTATATAATTCGCTAAGTGTGTCTGTTGGTGTGTCGATGTGTTTGTGTGTGTGTTTGTGTGAGGGGGGGGGGGGGCGCGAATCACGCGTGACCCCATTGAGGCTCTTCGCGCACGTAGCATCGTTTCAGTACCTTTCTGTTGAGATGGACCAAATAAATTTGCAGTAGTTCACGGCTTCACCATGAATAGAGCAAATCTCTTTACTATGGCAAAAAAGCCCCTTTGAGATTGAGAATTCACCTCATAGGTCAACAATTTACTTGTCAAACGTTCAAAATAAGAATACCTTTAAATTTTTTGATCCTAGTAAACGCAATCCTTCTGTAAACGTGCATAGTTGGTCATTTCTTTACTTATTCTACTTATAAGTTCTTATTTCTTCCGTTATGATGATAGGCGTGATGTTTTAGCGAGTTTTGTCCGATGACCTCATTATTTTGACGCGTGAATCGCACCACACCCGTTTGGGTGTGTGTGTGTGTCGGTGTGTGTGTCTGACCGGAGATTCATAACTCCTGTCTCCGTGGACCTAGAGTGTTCAAACTTGGTAGGAATACAGGGGGTAGGAGGAGAACACTTATGGTAAGTGGCAGGACCGGACCCCGCGCACAGGGAACGGCACATGCCGTTAGAAATTTTGGGCCGCAAACTCACAACTCCTGTCCCCGTGGACCCAGAGCGCTCAATTTTGGTAGGAGTAAGCGAGGCAGGATGGGAACACCTTTGGTAAGTGGCAGGACTGGACTCCGCTTATAAGGGGCGAGGCGTGCGCGATGAAAATTTCAGGTCGCAACTTCATAACTCCTGTCCCCGTGGACCTGGAGCGTTCAATCTTAGTAGGAGCACAGTTGACAGGACGGGAACACTTATGCTGGGTGGCAGGATCGGACTTCGTGCACAGGGGCGATGCGCGCGCAATGAAAACTGGGCCGCATATTAATGACTCCTGCTTACGTGGACCTAGAGCGTTGGAATTTGGTAGGATTACACTCTTCGTACCAACAGTGGAACCTCAGCATTTAATTAAGTAAGTGATGTAGGATGTGACGGGATCGTAGGTATTCGGTGACAAGTAGTGATCATTGATAAGTGAAAATAAGGGACCTAAGAGAGGCCACTGACCGATCAAAATTCTAACCTTTCGGTATTTACGATGTAGCTTTGGCTGTTCAGTATGTTTCATTCGATAATACGAATGAAAGGGACCCATTAGCGGCACTACGCCAAGCAGATTAGAACTTTGTTCATTTCTTACTATTAGATTACGACTGCTACCCAGCAAGGTTTGTGAGTCAATGAAGGATCCTCTTTGCTTGATATCATTTGCGACAAAACTTGATCGACCGCCAGTAATCTGGAATTCTCAACTAATGATATCTCCGCAAAGAAAAGGGTTCATTGATGAAGAACATCTGATAACGGTGCTATCATCACTCAGAACATCTCCGCAGCATCATCTTTGATTGTTCAACAGTTGAATTTTTGATGGCTATTTATTTCTAAGAAAGACAGCAAAACTTTGAGACTTCCAATCAAAGGCGTAAGCACCGACTTCAACTGAATACCATTTGCATTGCCCTATTATTCTGTATCAAAGTTCATGTGCAAGAAGCTGTTATTTGTTTTAGAAAGGAGTGGAGAGCTGGAATTACTACAACTTTATCAAAGAAGGAGAGAAGCTTCCGATTTCTGTTGTGTCAGAGAAGGATTTCGAGCTGTTTCAGTTTCATACTCTCACTCAGCTAAACAGCGGGAAAAAACCCAAACTCGGCTAAACAGCGGAAAAAAACTTGAAGACTACAAACTTGAAATACGGAAAAAATTCTTCAGTTCAACATTTCTGGGCTTAGGGTGTTTGACACAAGAAGGAAGAGAGCCTGGCGTTAGTCGGGCGATCCGACTGGTAGACGAATAATACAAAAAATACAATTGCAGTCCACATGTGGACTGCATGGTCGTCAATGGGTTAAAATGCCGAGGTTCCGCTGTTAATACGAAAAGCTGTCATCCTACCAGATTTGAACTCTTTAGGTCCACGGGAGCAGGAGTTATGAATATCTATTCAACTATATCGCGCAAACCGAGTACCGAGCGGAGTATGGTCCTGCTTCCTGCCACGAGTATTGTATCCTGTCCTCCGTTTCCCCTACCAAATTCGAACTTTTGAGTTCCACGGGAACAAGAGTTATGAATTCCGGTCAAACATACACACACACGCCGACACACCAACAGACACACTTAGCGAATTATATAAAGTAGGATTTTGGTTTTGCACAAGGACGTCCACTAGATTCCCCATCGGGTTCAGATCGTGGCTGCAAGCTGGTCATGCCAGAACTTCGATATTTTGGGGCTGCAACCAGTCTTTCGTTGAATGGCTAACGTGGATCGCAGCATTGTCCTGATGAAAAACATAGTTAATACCATGCCGCCTCCTCAGAAATGGCACCAGGCGCTATTGTAAGGCTTCCGGCTAGTCCTTGTAGTCCATTTTGGAGGTAACGAAAGCAAGGTCCACCACGAAATCTTTGCTAAAGGCACCATGAGACTTCTCCTCCAGAACGGTTAAATTGATCGGCTCTTTTCATAAGTCATGCTAGTAGTAGTTGTAACCACTCCGTTCAGGTCACTCTTTTTTCATCGAAAAATACCACCTGAACGAAAATTTTGAACTGTATGGCTAAACGGTAATACAGGCTGACTTTCGTCCAATCTCTTCCCTGATTCAACTTCGCAAATCCGAGTCGTACTTTCTGTGGTGATCGGTAAGCCTCTTGACCCTCTTCATTGCTGCCCTGGCAATGTCGCTGCTCTTTTTTACGGCTTTTCGTAAAGCAGTTTTCGACATTAGAAGACCCATCTCTAAAGAAACTTGGTTCAGCTTCAAGTTCTGTTCGAAATAGCACTTAACATTCTCCTGTCGTCGTTCGCGGTTAGCTTGCGCGGGCGTCCTGTCCTCTAGGGGCTCTATAGTCTTCAAATATCTTTGTTGAGGGATCTGTTGAGGGATCTCACCATTTGCCTCCTAATTGCACTTATTCCGGACCCTGTATCACAAAGATTTCGATTTTGTGCTATTTCCTCCGAAGATAGATGACTTCCGCCTGGCAAAGTGCATATTGCTGTCAAACATATTGGTGATATAATCCCTTCTACACAGATCCCTTTAAGTGCAAGTTCTGCTGCACCCGATTTCGATGCCTTCATGTTGTCGGGAGTGATCTTGTACTTATGAAACGGAGGAAATAATCTATGTATATAAGTGTTATAAAGGTTAGTAAACCAAAGCACGTATGGGGTTATTGAAGGTGATGAATCTAATGGTGGTGCCAGAGCGATATGTGGTGGTTGTTTATCCGTGAATACCGAATTCGAGGGTGATCTTGTACTTATGAAGCGCACTGTAGGTGTACATTAATTGACCACCCATTGTTTAACAGTATTTTTCAAAAATTTCACTACTTTTATATCAGCACTTCGAAACATTCGTCGAAAGAGAGGACAGAATCCTATCCAGTGAGAGCTCTGCACAGATGGGTTACTTGACCATCCTCTGCCAACAGCCAAGGGAACGGCCAGAAATTTTATGCCTTGGTGATCGCGGTAGAAGGGCACTCCTATTCGGTCAGTGGTTACAAAGAAAAATGTTTTTCGGATACCATTGTTCATGGAATGTCAGAAAAGGTCAAAGATAGTCAATGTGAAGCGTAATAACTTTCTGTAAGCTTTAGGACCATTTTTACGATAAGCAAAATGTGCATTTTCATAAATAATTCGAACCTTCATGCCGCGCTGATGAGCCCACCACTCTGCCAACCCCTGCACAGCGTGTAAGTGCTCGGTTCGTTTATCCGTTCGACACAGTGGTGTAACTGTCTAGCAGATTTTGAACGTAGATTCAAAATCAGCATTCGAGAAAATCTACGGCGGTATACTTCTCATCTTGTATGACCACTGTGACGAAGTATTCTTCCCTTGTCAGTCACATACTGCTCTGAGTGTGGAACCGATGCTAATGATTTTCCACTTATGCTGAGTAATAAGTGATGCTTGCGTGACCAGAAGCCGAATGTGATGGCTCACTACCATCCTACAGCTTACTGGTGACAAGTTATCTTTGGCATTGGGCAACACTGAGTTAGAAGATTTATTTTCAACTACCACAGTTGTTATACATTTTATACAAATGAAGAAGACTCGTCGTTTAATAGCTTTAAGGCTCCGAAACAAACAAGGCTAGTGCGCTTAACTAGTAATTAGTATGTGGCCATGTAGATCACGAATTAATTTCTTTTTTTTCTTTTCTAATACTTCAGAATCCTTTGGTGGCCTTGACGTAATCTTTCGTGAACGCCTCCAAATGCGGCGTAACGCTGTCGTCCAGATATTTGGCATGCTTTAAGTATAACAACAACACTTGATGAATATATAGATATTGATGTTCTGTCTGCAATTAATACTTTAATTTATTTGGAGATGAGCCTTACTTCATCCAAACTGAAAGAATAGTTGAAGCATCGTAGAAAATCAGTTCAGCCGTCGTTAAAAAAATTGTTCATACCTGGCTAATCAGAGGTGGGTGATTCGTCAAGTATGAACAATGTCTTACTGTGCGCGGTGACGACAAGGCCGAACACTCTTCACTAATCGTCAACAACTTGCCCTATTCACCCTTTCCTCTGTGAGAACAACGAGCGTGCGTAACCGACCAACTAGCGAAGGCAAGCGTGACAGTGAAAAGCACTGCCACGTCAGAAAACCCTTTTTACACGAAACTGGTCATCTCATGTATCGAATACAAGGCAGAGATTGGTACGCATGCTAGCTTTTCTAACGAATATTCAGCCGTCAATGAGTCCCTCCAATGAATACAGTCTCCCGCTAAAGTCCAAGCATGAGTTTCTACTTACATTGGTTCGAGCTCTAAAAATGGTGAGAGGCTCCCACAGCACTCAATGAAGGAGTAGCCATCAGCGGGTTTTCATTTGGTGAAGATTCCGTTTGACCATGTTGGGAAGGCTCTCATCGCTACCCTAGCCGCTGGATAGCGACCGAACGTTTTGTCAATTATGAACACAATCCGCCTTTCTCTTCTACTTGAACGGGGGTGAACGGAAGTATCTTCAGGAAATTCTCATTCCCCATTTTGACACCTAAAAACGGTGCTAGAATTGATTAACCTGTATGCTATTATTCCTTTGCTTACGTAGGTCCTGTAAGTATCCACTGATTTCCAATAGAGGCTGATTTCGTTGTAGAAGTTCCAAAGCATGTTCGATAAGTACTATTGAGCCGGTTCGTCCTATTCCTGCGGAACAGTGGACAACTATTGGCGTTCTGAACAAGATGTCACAAAGCCTTAATAGATTTCAGAGGTTTCGATGAAGTGGTTTCGCCAGAACTCACATGCTATCTTTTAGTTTACCAAGTAATGCTACTGGTGCCAAATCAGCCTCTGGAACACCTCTATCTGGCCAATCAAGCCAATGATAGTGTGAACAGCTATGAGGAGGCTGCCCAGGAACGGTCACTTCCAAGTGCGTGATTTGAACCCTTACATGAGTCTCGAATGGGAAAGGAAACTGAAATACATAGAAGTTAGGATTGTGGGTGCGAAAGTTCTGGTCGGATCGCAAAATTTCCGCCGTTAACGAGCGGCACGCTTTCGCGTTAAGTGTGGTGAAAGACTGGTCTCATTCAGCAGCTAAAACTCAGCAGCCTCACCGAAGCGGAAATTCATGCTCTAATCTACCTGTCATCGTTCTGTTTTATTTCACTTACCATCTCCTGTCTTTTGAACGAAACATATACGTCGCCTTCAAAGGCCAAAGGGGGTCCATCTTGGGTGGGAAAGTACTCCGCACACTTTTTAGCATTCTAAACATTCGACATGTAAGATGTTGTTGTGGGGAAAACTCTTCAGAACAGCTCCTAGCCACGAGGTGGGTGAGTTTTCAAACTTATCTCCTAATCTGAGAGCTTTTGACCCTGAATGAACAAAGAATAAGGATAAGGTTTTGGAGCGTTAGCACGTCTGAGGGATGCGCCCACCCATTCGGGTTTCACTCAGAATCGTAATGGCGTATTGAATGCATGTGGCTCTACAATGACCTGTGGTGGCCAGCCGGTGTACAAGCCAGTGCTTTTATCCTCCTAGACGAGTCTGGTACCTGTTAGCCGACCTTGGAGGAATGGAAGGTTGGTTGACCTAGACGGATGGCGATCCGAGATTCGAACCCATGTTACCGTGCGTGTGACATAGTGCGCGACCCACTACACCAGTTCCGCGCACTCCTGATGATAAAGTTAGCTAACAAGGGAAGGATACTTGGTCGCAATAGCCGTTCAAGTTGAGATGTATACCCCTGTAGGTGGTTTCGAACGCTGATCTCAAACCTGTGTTCCAAATCTGCGAAACGATTCTTGGAACAAAGTTACGGGCCTCCCTATGTTATACCACTGCACTAAACGGATCACCGAGCCGAGCAAAACCTTTACCTGTGCAACGGTGACCTAGCGGGTAGTGTGGTGGACTAGTAGGCAAAGTGACATCAAGGTTTGATTCCTCGATGCATGCGCTTGCTTTGCTTTTCCATGAAATGCCTCTCAAACGCTTGCAAAACGTTTTTAGGCTCAATGTTGGGCATCTACAGGGTTCCCTCACAATTTAAAAAGACTGGAAAGGTATTTCAAGGGTAGTTTTTTTGCCCCTCATCGGCGAAATAAGGGTGGTGCTTCAGCTCCCGCACATTAATTATTCCAAACTTTGCCCAAAATGGGCTCAAGTGGCTTCAAGGAGAAAGGTTCCAAATGATTAATCTGATAAAACGCTCTTCGACATTTTACCAGTGAATCTTCTGGCCGAATGTGGTGCATATGATGGAGGACTTTCGTTTTCGCAACATAACGTGGGCACCATTTAGGGAGAGGCGGTAATAAAGACCTTTCGAACCGTACTTTTCGATGCTATGAAAACAAGCCCGCAATTCTTTCTGAGATCAAGATGATCCTCTGCGGTCGCCGATGAGAAAGCGACAATAGACCCGTAACTTCGCGAAAGAGATTTCGTGCGTTCATGGGGATGTAGTGGTCCGAAAGTGAAACGTAGCCTTCATGTTTGTAATCTGGCCCAGAAGCTCCAATTCTATGACACTGATAGGAGAGCTCATAGACTTCGTTAGTTCGGCTGTCAAAAGAAACCGTACCTCTTCAAACGTGAGGAGCAAGCAAACCGATCAGCCTGCTTGTGGAGATTCGCCGATAAGTTGGAAGGATAAGCTGTCATAAAATAATATAGGAGCCACATTGCACGACAGTCATTTCCACTGGATACCGCTTCGAGTCAACAATGAAGGCCCATGAGAGGCAATTTCAACGCAAGTTGTAGGTGGATCAGGGTTTTGAGTCAGCCGTGGTGTCATGCCCCACCGCACCACCACAGTTACCTCATGAAAGGAATTGAAATTGCGTTTACCTCAAGGATAGAATCAGCGGATAATC